AAAAAACCACCAGTAGAACTGCCAGGGTGATTGCTGTCATCTTGAGACTTTGCAAATATAAACTGACTTTGCCAAATAGTTTCAGCAAGAAAAGACCCATAAATGTTTGAGGGCCAGATTCAAAAAAGTGAAGTAGTAACTGGAGCACTTGGCAAAGATGCAGGAGAACCAGTTCCCCTTTGTCCCCTCTGAGGGAAGTGTGTATCACATGGGGGAATGCCAGAGCTACCACAGCACAAGCTTTGCCAAAGCGTGTGACTCAATGGGTTTCATTTACTGAGAGGAAAAAAAAAATAAAAATGAATCCCTGACTTTGTCAGAGATTAAACTATTCCCAAGAAGATGCAATGCTTTAATGCCACTACCTGATCTCGTGTATTTAATTAGTTGTATGACAAAAAAACCTTGATTCCTTTGAGCTATCCCAGAAAATGCTTTAGACGGTTGGTTAGGGCTCCCACATCATGGGTAAGTGCTTACTCACTGTAGAAGCAGAAACAATAACTTTGGAGGGCTAGGTTATATTGTCCTTCTAAGCAAAGACTTTTTCTGAGGCTGAATGGAATATTTGTGTCAAACGAACCAGTGTTTTTCAGTGTTTTATTTTGTCAAGGAGAAGATAGACTTCAGTCTTGATTGTAACCAATTTTTAAGTTGCCCAGTTTAGCTGTCAAATCAATTTGTGATGCTAAAGATGCAAGTGCATGTTGACAGCTCATCCAAGACATCTGCTGAGTGCTCAGCAGATGTCAAAAAGTGAGTAAAGTATTAACATTTGTAAAAAGAAAATGAAGAGTAACAAACAAAACCATATGATACCATGCAGTGTTCTTCTGGTCTTCACTTTGTCAGTTAACAAAAGGCTGCTACAGAGAAGGTTTGAAACTTAAAGGTATTTTGCAAAGACATCCCCCATTGCTTTCTTTTGTAGCTTTCTGCATTTCCACTCCCTCAGCTACCTCTTTTCTCCTTCATTCCTTAATCAGAATCACGTGAGTGCAGACCCAAACATTCCCTCTAATATTTTTCCTCTATTTTTCCCTTTTTCCCCTCCCACATCTTCAGGTGGCCATACTGTCACTTCTGTATGTATTTGAGACTGACTATAATTTGAATTTGAAAAGCAGCTTGTTTAGCAGGTACATGCTAAAATTCTGTATGCTTTCAATTCTTGAAATTTCACACTTTAAAAGAAAATGATCCAGATATAACCAGCTGACACTCACAAATCATGACTGTCATAAAAGTTCTCCAGTGTCAGTATGAGGTGTATATTCAGTATTTACTCCCAAAAAGAAGAAAAGTAAGGAAAGTGACACAAGGGGGGGTGAGGGGGGTGGTATTGAGGAATGGAGTGTGCTGCTTGGGCTTCTGTGCTCTCAAAGTAGCTCAGGGAGGAGGTACCTGGAAAGGTGACTGTCATTTTTATTCAGCAAATGTAGGCTGAATGGCAGTGGCATCTTCAAACTGCCAGCTGAGAAGATCTGAATCATTCAGGTGAGATTTCTGAATATAAATGGGAGAAAAAAAAATCAGAGTAAGTAACTCCTGAGGGAAAGAGAACACCGTATTTTATGGGTAGCAGAACTAATGAAGTCTGGTCTCCTACAGATTTGTTTCTCTACGGGTTTCCTACAAAGCTCCAATCAATAACCTCAGTGTCCCCCTCATCTTTTCCAGTTTACCTACATGTCCCTAAGCTATCCTACAATAGTCTCACCTCACTCCAGGTGCTCTAATTACCAGGCAGGGAAGAGGCCAGATGTGCTGTAGCCTGAATCAGAGCTCTGCACCTGGTCAATTAGTAGCACAGACTAATGGGCCAGCTTGTTCTCACCCAGAAGAACAATGGCTGAATTTGTCCTACTTTTCCTGCATCATGAAGGAAAGAACAGGCTTTTTTCTACCTAACCACAGATTTTTTTACATGATTTGCAGGAACTTTGCAAATTTGCCAAATCTGCCTGAAATCAGCTTGCAGGTTCATAGTTATTAGAACTAAATATATAGATGGATGAACAAACAACTTGGCTGAGTAGGCATTGTTTCCTTAAGAAAACTGACTAAAAATAGTTTTTGTTTGTGAATGCCCAACACTCTGGGATCTCTTTTCACAATAAATAGACTTAAATAATTCTCAGCCATTATGAAAGAAGTAAAGCCTATTTATCTGATCCAGCTGAAACAACTTTGTAAATGGAAATTGGCTCCTAGAAATACAAAAGAGGAAAAAGGCAAAAGAGTCTCTAATAAAAGCTGTGTTGACTTTTGGTAAAATACTGCTATCCTAGCCACCAGATCCAGACATTCTTGTCTTTTTTTAGCTTACTATGAAATACAGGCAAGTTGGTTTTAGTTTATATTAATCCATCCAAAAGCAAAAGAATGACAGTCTCCTGGTTAATTGGGGAGGAATTACTTAGGTGACATGGTAACTGTGGTCTCAGTGCAGAGACAGCCACATGGGCTCCATATGAGTTAGGTTGAATCCAGAAGCAATATGCCCATGTTCTCATGGGGATGCGCTCTAGGCCTTAACAGGTTGAGCTCATGCTAGTTTGAGGAGCCTTGTACTGCAGAGTTGCCTACTATTAAATCTCTGTGCTGATGCCAAGTTTTACCAGTGTTTTTATTCACATTGTTATTGTCTGGTCTAGCTTATACTAACACTTCCCTCAGAACTAACTTGGCAGGACTGTGCTCCTGAATCTGGCTCAGCAACCTGAGGGTGGCCTTTGTGGACTCTGCTGGAGAAGACAGAAATGACCAAATTATTCCCAATTAAATGCTTTCTTCCAGTAGAGGCCAGGTAGGGTTCAGCAGTGATTCTCCAGCCAGATATACTTTAAAATCTAGTTGTCATCAAGCATATACCCCAAGCCCTTCAATCTTGGTCCCAGCTAATGCCGTGGGTGAGGAATGTAGAAAGCTTCTGTCCTGCTGTCCTAGGTGAAAAAATGGCTTAAATTATGAAAACCAACAGGGAACATATAGTTGGGTGTATGTGTGTGGAGGTGAATGTCTGAAGCTGAACTGTCAAGCAGAAGCTTCCTACTTACTAACTGCTACAACTGCACCTGGTAGTAAATTTTGGTAACACCTAGACTAAACAGAAGTGGCACATCTCGAATCCTGCAATTAATGAAGAGACATGAGACAGAACCACCAGTTATGAGTTTGGTCATGCACACTGGCTGTTCAGACTGGGAGAAATGGGGTCCTGGAACTCTGGAAAGAAAAACTGGTGATAAAATCAAGGGTTCCGTGCCCCCCCCCC